AGGCGGGGAATGTTGGAGTCTGCAGTCACTGAAGCAAGGAAGCCTCATGTTCGCTTCCAGCTGCCTGGCTGCTGGCCGCCATCTTGGCTGACAGTTAATTTGCATAAGGATATGCTGATTAGCCAATGGGAAGGGTAGCGGTCGTACGCCAATTACCATGTTTCTCTTTTATTAGTGTAGATAGAATGTCTATATCATTGGATCATGTTAGTAAAGTGTTCCTTTTTGCTACTTTAAGCATAATGTTTACTACCTTTAAGAATGCATAAATAGGATGTTGGTGGCAGTATTGGGTTATATTTCTGAGTGTTCCTGAACTTTGTTAGTCTACTGAAATCATTATGACAGACAATTCTCAATTATTCACCTTTAGGTTGACCAAACTTTAGTCAGGTTCCTCTGAGCCCTCTTATCCACTAGGCCTCAACCTGGGGCCCATACTTGCTGGCCTGGATAGCTCACTTTTAACAAAAATATTACTAAATCAGTTTAGAGAAAAACCTCTCTTTTAATATCAAATAAAATTTCTAAACTCCTACCCTTGATTCTGATCTCTTGGCCTGCCTCAGCAAGAATCATGTCAATTTAACAAGTATTTTCCCTATGCTTAATGTCTCCTCTTAGTAATTTCCCATCCACCAACACACTCTTTCAATCTGCTCTTTGGCTATAAATTCCCACTGTCCTAATTGTATTGGGAATTGAGCCAGTTCTATACTGAGGTCTCTTTTCTCCTGTTACAATAGTTCCTAATTAAAATCCATTTTTACCACTTAACTTCTATCAGAGTACTGTCTGTGAAATAAAAGTTAGTTACTTTAGTTAAAGTCATAAAGTGGATTATTGAGACTGTTCTAGAAGTAATTATAACCAAAAATTAAGGTTGACTATGCAAAGTAGTAAGATATGATTTTGTTTATCAAGAGGAAAAGAAGGATAGCTTCATCTTAACATAAAATATCTGGTTATTTCAGAATCTGAAAGAGGATAGTAAAAACAAAACCCAATGAAGATAGAAAGCTGTAGAAGGTTCAGGAAATAAATTCTGTTTGCCTTAGTATCTGAAAACAAATAATGATATATGTTAATATTTTGGCAATATTTGCAAAGCTCGGCTTTGATGTGTTTCTTTTTAAAAACTCAGAAATGCTTTACCACAAAATATTATATTGAAGAAAGACTGAAACTGGGTTTTCTCTCTGTTATAATGACATGACAAATTTATCTTGGTGTAATCTTAGGTAGTAAATGCTATTCTTTATCTTCTGTGTAATCTTCCAAGTTAGCAGAGATTCTTTAGTTTACCAAAATAATTTGTTGTGTGTTATGCTGACTATATTCTCCATTATTTTAAAATTATAGTTAATTGCCTAGGAAAGAGCTAAAGTTCCTCTACTGTTTATTTTAAATATATTTGCATGCACTCTGGTCAATAGGTAGCTATGCTACAACCATCTTTTTCTCTACACTACTGTTATAGGTTGATTTGTGTCCACCAAATAAATATGTTAAAATCCTTATCCCCAATACCTATGAACATGACCATACTTGGAAATATAGTCTTACAGCATTTGCAGATGTAATCAATTTAAAATGAAGTCATACTGGATTAAGATGGATTGGAATATATTTCTCTATGTTCTGAAGACCTTAAAGGAGTATGCCCTTTTGTGTGTTTCCAAAAATTATTTCATATAAACATTATTCTTTAGAAATTTGGAGTCAAGATTATTAAAATTGTTGGTTTACAAATACTTTATGTAACTCTCCCCTTTCAAAAATGAATGTCCCTCCCTTCTGAGTGAGAAAAAAATTGGATTCTATATCGGTGTATATAATAAAATTAAAGAAGAACAAACAAGAGCTTCTCTCTGAGTTTGACCATCAATAATAAACATCAACAATCAATGAGGGCTCTTCAGAATACAGGCATAACTTAAGAGATCTTCCTGTAATTCACCAGCTGTCTGCATACTCTCCCCATTGCTACTTTCATTTCTTGATTCCTGAATGTGTAAATGATAGGATTCAGGAAAGGAGTGAGAACTGCATCAAAGATGGCCAAAAACTTATCCAGATGTGTGGAGGGAGATGGCCACATATAGACAAATATCAAAGGACCAAAGAACAGGACTACCACTGTGATGTGAGCTGACAGTGTGGACAGAGCCTTGGATGAACCAGCTGAAGAGTGTTTCTTAACAGTGAAAATGATGATGATATAGGAAATGATCAGCATGGAGAAGGAGCCAACAGAGATGAATCCACTGTTAGCTGTGACCATGATCTCTAGTTGGTAGGTGTCTGTGCAGGCAAGTTTGATGAACCGAGGAAGGTCACAGTAAAAGCTATCCAGAACATTAGGACCACAGAAGGGTAATTTTACCACAAATGCCAATTGAACCATGGAGTGGATAAGGCCAGTCATCCAGGCAGCCATTAAAAAGAAAATGCACATTCTTGGGCTCATGATGGTTAGGTAGTGGAGAGGTTTACATATGGCAACGTATCTGTCAAAGGCCATGGCTATGAGCAGCACCATCTCCACACCACCAATGACATGGATGAAGAAGATTTGAGTGATGCAGCCACTAAAGGAAATGACTTTACGCTTTCTGAAAAGATCATAAATCATCTTGGGAGAAGTGACGGAAGAAACTCCCAGGTCAATGAAGGAGAGATTGGCCAACAGAAAGTACATGGGGGAGTGTAAGTGAGGGTCATGAATCACAGTGAGCACAATGAGAGTGTTTCCCATGATGCTTGCCACATAAAATGTGAAGGAGAACACAAAGAGGAGAAGTTGGATCTCCCAAAAATCCGTGAGTCCCAGGAACACAAACTCTGACACTGCAGAGTGATTCGCTCCATCTGTTGGCTCTGTCGGCTCTGTCGGCATTGCTACCTGAAAATCAAGTTTGTAATAGTTATGTAATAAATTAGGAGGGAGCTCAAAGTTATGAAAGCCTTTATCTACACTAGCATTAAAACTGGCCGAATATGCCCAGGGCCTCTAAAATGTGACCACAGAGAAATTGGTGGCTTTCATGTGGAGTTGTTCTCTACTACAAAGTTGTTTCTGCATTTAATACCCTCTGTTTCTTCCCAGTATTGATGCCATAATATTAGTCATGACATAAGATGGTCAACATTAATAACAAGAATTCAATCTCAAATATTTTTATTTTTTGCTTCAAAACTAATATCTGGCCCCAGTCACATAACTAGTTATTATTGCAATCCCGTCCAAGCCTATAAACCTTTATCTGACAGACCCTTCTCCTTTTCCTCCCCAGTCTCCACCTCTGAGAACATATTCATCTTAAATATTACTTAATTGTTTACCACACCTATGATGTCTTGCATTATTATTACTAATATTTATTATTACTAGTATAACCACCAGGTTTTCTCTGCATTTAATACCCCTCTGCTTCCTCCCAAGGTAGATACTATGATGTTCTTCATGAGACACAAGATTGATCAACATGGGTAATAGGAATGAATTCAACCCCAAATCCTTTTGATTTTTGGTTCAAGACTAATATATTGTGGCTCCAGTCACACAAAACTCTTTGCCACTTTTCAACTATTTCATCCATTTCTAAGACCACCAGCCTTATTCTGGAAAACAGATCCTTTCTCCTGACTCCTTACCTCTGGGACATATTTATCATCAAGGTTCATTACATTTTAATCCTATCTGTGAGGTATTGTGTTATATTACCAGCATTTATTTTACTATCTCTTGTGTTTTAGTAAATTGAGTACAATTCTAACTCCCCAACTACACTATAAGCTTCTTGAAGGTGGAGTTTGCGACTTATTCATATTTGGATTCACTGAAGCAATAAAAAAGTGGTCCACACAGAGGTACAAGTCCATGAATTGTCTGTTACCAGTTTGCATCATATTAGGACAATTTTACATCAGAACAAAATTCAAGTGTATGATTTTGTATTTACTAAAGTATCAACCCATGACGGATTGGGGACAAAAACTAATTTTTCACCAAAGATAGTTTGAGAAGCACTGCACTAGAGTACTTACCACATGATCTGACAAGCTTAAAACTATGAAGGGCATCATGGTGTAGTGAAAAGTATTTTGTTAAAGGCTCTGTGGAAGGACTTGTCATATTATTTTGTAATTTTATTTTTATTTGGAGAAGCAACATAGCATAGTGAAAAGAATATGGACTTTGGATTCAGAAAACCAAGATTTATACTATGATTCAGCCACTAACAAGCTAATTTGAATTCTTGAAACTCAGTTTATCTATGGAATTGCAATTAATATTAACTTCTCCGAGCAAGTTGTAGGAATAAAATAAAGTTTTGTAATTGTGTATTTAATGCATAGATATTAATATGTAAATATTCAGTAAATGTTTATTTTACTTATCTTTCTTTCATTTGTCCATTATAGTGCTTAACACATGAGATAAATAAACAAATACAAAAATAAAATGGTGTTGGCCAGAAAAATTCCATATTGAAAAGATATTTCAATAATATATTATGATTGTCTCCTACACATAATAATATATTATAACATTCATACTCTTTTAGTGATCAAAATAAAAACCATCCTATATTGATTAAATATATTTCTCTCAAAAAACACTGTATTTATTTGTAGTACTTACTACAAATGTAATTCATTGTGGTTTTTTTGTTTGTTCTCCCTTTCTTTCTTTCTTTTTTAATAAAATGTATTGGAGTGACATTGTTTAATAAAATTATATAGGTTTCAAGTGTACAATTCTATGACACACCATCTGGATATTGCATTGTGTGTTCACCACCCAAAGTCAAATCTTTTCCATCACTATATATTTAACTTCCTTTACCCTTTACTATCTCACGCCCTTTTTCTTCTGGGAACCACCATACTGTTGTCTGTGTCTATGAGTTTTTGTTTATTTGTCTTGTTTGTTCATTTGTTGCTTTCTACTTTTTATCTCACATATGAGTAAAATCATGTGGTTCTTGACTTTATTTGTTCTATCATCTGAGACTGCAACTCCCATAAAATTAAGGAATACATCTGTCTTGTTATTTAATGTATCCCAAAACTTAGAGTCATACCTAGTACATAATAAGCATATGTAAATATTCCAAGAAATACATATCTGAAAGATAAAAGAAGATGTATTTGGGTGATTTAAAATACATGCAAATATGACTAATTGTATAATTAATGAGTATGGGTTACACGATTGCATAGTTCCTAAATAACAGAGTTAAATTAAAAAAAATAAGGGATTATAAAAGTGAAAAAAAATAAATCAGTCAGAGAAAAACTAATACCATGTGATTTCACTTATTTGCAGAATCTAAAGTGCAAAATAAATGAACAAGCAAAATTGAAACAGATTCATAGATACAAATAACTAATGGTTGCCAGAGGGTAGGGACATTGAGGGACTGGGTGAAAATGGTGAAGGGATAAAGAAGTGCAAATTGGTAGTTACAGAATAGTCACAGGAATATAAAATACAGCATAGGAAATATCATCAATAATATTGTAATAGCTATGTATGATGCCAGGTGGATACTGAAATATCTTGTGGGAACACTTTGTGACGTATATGATTGTCTAACCACTATGCTTGTACACCTGAAACGAATACAAAAAATATAAATCATTGAAAAGTAATTTTTTAAAGTGAAGAAGTTTTAGGAAAAAAGAAAAAATAACTGAGATTAAAAGGAAAATATAAAAAGATGAAGAAATTGTGCCAAAGGCTCTTATGAGAGTTTCTCTATAAGCTTTTATCATCTATGCACATAGGGCAGGAATGTATTTGTTTTTTGGCTCTCCAATTCCTATCAAACAGGTAAGAAGAGGAAATTTTAGAAAAAATGAATTTAAAGCAGAATAAGACATAAATATTAAAAACATGAGAATATATCCATTCAAATATCAAGAAATCTAGAAACTTGAAAAGTTTGTATCATCACAGGTTTAAAGTCGCTTGAGATAGTCAGAATCCAAATCTCAAAAGTCCAGAGCAAAAGTCAGAGAGATTTCCAGATGGAGATACAAGGATATGTTTATTCACTTAAAATTTGTCAAGTACCCATAGGGAAAAACTCCTGAATAATGGTGTTCTGAAACTATCTTATCTTATAGATTGGCTATGCTTTGAACTAACTTTTCTTTAAACATTTAATTACATTCATAATTTTAACTAATTAAATATCCATGAGGCAAAAGACAAGGCCTAACTCTTTGCCTTTTGTTGTGATTAATCTTTTTTTTAATCCATAGGGAATTGATTAATTCTCCAAACAGATTTCCAGATATTTAATCCTTTATAGATAAAACAAATATTGGTAACTAAGGTTCCAAATAATAAAGTATTCTAAGTGAACACAGACAGCTGTTAGGTTTAAGCAAGGTACTAATATAAATCATCGCCCATATAAATATCCTCCTTAATTTAAAAATATTGTGGGTTTAACATATTCCTCAGCTCAAACTTTCTGCATTTTTGTCTTTAAAATAAACTGTCACAAAACACTGTCCTTATATCCAACTAAAATCCTGCCTCCTCTAATTTAAGACCACCTCTACTTTACTGTTTGTAACTGTGGGAAATATAAATAATTCTGTGTTCTTTTCAAAAAAAACCTTTTATGTACATAAATACAACAAATTAATCACTCCTTTAGCTTTCTGTTTTCAAAACTCAACAAACTTAACACCTTTTATATTATCTATGAGGATCTCTTTCTCACTTTTTCCCTTCCATCCAAAAAAAATTAATATAAAACACTCTAAATCATAAAAGCCCGAAGAAACTAGTTCAATCTCCTGGTAGTTTATTTTTTAAATTTCCACACCATATTTTAAAATTACATTACATTGGAAATTATTTATTCAGTTTTGTATTTTTTTAATCTCCATATCTTTTATTTCTATTGAAATTTCTATAAAATCCTTTTCCTTATTATAAACTTGACAAGTTCCTACTAAATTTGCTTCCCTTTTCATAGAAGATGATCAGTTTATACCCATCTCTTTTGAAAATTTAATAGAGTAAAAAATACAGTTACCCTTTTTTAATATTTTCATGTATCATCAATTTTTCTTGCCTGTTTATCAAGTGGCAGAGGGTGAGAATCATTTCCTTAATCAGCATCGAGATCAGAGTGATTAGTTGCAACCTATGCTGAATCCAAACTATTACAAAACCATTTGACTTTTTCTAATGCCTTTCACATTACTCGAGGAACAATTTAAATTTTTTAAAAAATATATTTTATTGATTTTTTACAGAGAGGAAAGGAGAGGGACAGAGGGTTAGAAACATCGATCAGCTGCCTCCTGCACACCCCCTACTGGGGATGTGCCCGCAACTAAGGTACATGCCCTTGACCGGAATTGAACCTGGGACCCTTCAGTCCGTAGGCCGACGCTCTGTCCACTGAGCCAAACCGGTTAGGGCTCGAGGAACAATTTAATTCTAACTAAATGCCAAGGTCAGTTAACCTTTTCCAATATGTCAATAAACTTTTCAAAATTATTCTTTTGTACTATTCAGTTTCATATCCTGGACACTAACTACTTTGCTTTAGGATAACACTCAAGCACTTGAGTATATGGCTCATACTAGTATTCATAGCAATTCCAAAGACACAATTATGTCCAAACTAAAACTATTGTTAAATTTACTTTCATCCTTCCATTTTACCTGTATGAAGAGAACAGCATCTTCCAGGAGTCTGAGCTTTCCCTGTGTTCTCTAACACAAAGTGCCATATAAAATCCTGCCATAACAAGTGAAGTTTGTTATAGCTCAAGAGGACAGTGACCAAGTGATACTGCAAAAGAGTGAGTCTAGCAAGAGCTTATGGATCAAGAGACTTTGCCCCTAGAGAACTATTTGGT